ATGAAGTTTCCAGGGTGTTGCTATGCTATTGCTAAGGTATTCTGAGTGGTTGTTAACAGTTGCCAAGCTGTTGCTATGCAGATGGCAAGGTTTTCCGAGTGGTTCTTATCACATTGCTGTGCAGTTGCAGGGTGTTGCTGTGCTGTTTTTTAATTATTCAGGTTAAAGATTTTGAACCCCCTAATAGCAATAGTGATGGTTGCATAGATATAGTAGATATAATTGCATAGATATAATTGTAACCTACTTTTACATGTTGGAAATAAATTAACTTGGCATGTTGTATTCTTGATTTTCAAGAAATCTGCATATGTGCTTGTTTCACAGGTATTATATAGGAAATAGTTATGCAAAACAGTCTTTACAGAGCACTGAGTTTCACACAAGTCCTCAAATTTCCTAGATTTCTCAGTCATTCTTCCCATCAACCGATCATTTCCTCCACCCACCACTTCTACATGCCACTCCACCATGCTATGTCTATTTCCAACACTTCTGAGAGGCAATTACAGATGAATAAAAAACTGTCACCCATGTCATCATAACAAAAGCGTGACCTCATTATCATGCCAAAAAGTTAATGCATCTCATCTGAAACATCATAGCTCACTATTAAATGGCATATTTGTGCTTACAGTGCCGTTTCAGCCAGACAAGAATCTGAGTAGATTTCTATAATGTCATGAAGCAGAGACGATGAACTCTTTGAAAACAGCTCTACTGACATGAATTTATTATAGAACTGTTTTATTTCATGAAGCAAGATGTCTGCCAACTGACCTTAATTATTGTCAGTAAAATGCCTAGAATGATATCTAAAATCAAATGCTTGGATTAAAGGAATAGTTCATAACCGAAAAACACATTTACAATGTCATTCCAAAAATATGTATGTCTTTCTCTCGTCTGCTGAATACAAAAGATAATTTTTAAATATTTCTTGTCTATACAATTACAACGAGACTAACGTGTTCAAGCATCAGTAAGTATGTAAAAATCATAAAGCAATTATAAAAGCAGTCTACACGACTCATCTTCTGCTGTATGTTCAAAGTCTTCTGAAGTCATATGATAACTTTGTGAGAAAAACAGACAGAAATTAAAGTTATTATTCACTGACAATCTCCCCCTCCCTTTTGAACTCAAGTACCGGATCAGTTTGATTCGTCAGTGATTCATTCAGGAAGGTTTTGTGAACTGCATCAAATGATTCATTGAAAAGATCCAATTCAAATGACTTGAAATATTAAACAGTTTTGAATACTATTTGAGCTCCATGGAAAAAAAAGAAGATACCAACTACATAATAATAATAAAGGAATAGTTCACCCCAAAATGAAACAGTTGCCAGTAGCCATTGACTTCCATAGTATTTGTTTTTTTCATACTATGGAAGTCAATGGCTACCGGCAACGGTTTGGTTAACATTCTTCAAAATATCTTCTTTTGGGTTCAACAGATAAAAGAAATTCAAACAGGTTTGGAACAACTTGAGGGTGAGTAAATAATGACAATTTTCATTTTGATATGAACTATCCCCAAACAAAGTTTTATTCATTTTCCTGTCATTTTCTCGAATGATCCCTGCTCAGCATCTGCCTGCTTCCTCATCTCTGTCCGGATGGCTGCGAGCGCATCAGGTCGAGCGCACCTCATTTGCATTCAGCGGGCAGCGGGTTCCGCTTCAAAGCCATAATGAAGTATGAAGTCTGACAACATTTAACAGGGAAGTAGGATCAGTTGATCTGCGTCATTTCCAACTCTCCCTGACAGGTGACGTTTGGCTTTCATTACGCCTAATGTCCAGGCAGACATGGTTGACAAGAGGTAGCTGGGGAGAGTGATTTGAGCTTCAAGCAAGACAAATTCAATTCCAGGTAAGTCCTCTGCATGGGTGAGTGGCATACAAGACACTCTGGGTGTGCAGAGCAAGACAAATTCAATTCCTCTGCATGGGTGAGTGGCATACAAGACACTCTGGGTGTGCAGTTTTTGATGATGGCTGAATGCCAAGCTGTGTTGGAGAATGTAATGTTTATATGATGATTCAGAATCAACAGTGCTGAGACCCTGAACTACACATGCCAGACTCAATTCTAATCTCAACAAAATAAACAGGAAAATAAGTCAATTAAACAGGCAATTTCATGCCTTCCACAAATTGAAAAGATCCCTTTCTCTACATTTAAGTAAAAGTGATGTTGCATGTATAGTGCATGTATGTATGAATTTACGTGCTGAGACCCTCAACTAATCTCAACAAAATAAACAGGAAACGTGCTTCACTATATTGAAAAGAAGTCAATTAAACGGGCAATTTCATGCCTTCCACAAATTGAAAAGATCCCTTTCTCTACATTTAAGTAAAAGTGATGTTGCATGTATAGTGCATGTATGTATGAATTTATGTATGTACAGTATGTATATATGTATGAATCAATGAATGCATGTATGACTGTATGAATGGATAGATAGATGGATATCACTTTTTCACTTGGTTACATTTCGCCTTGTAATCTCAGAGCTATACAGTAAATAAAATCAAATAAATTATTTTGAAATATATATATATACACGGACATATACATACATAATGACCACTTTTACAATAGTTTCATTGGGGCTTAATATATAATTTTTCAAGCTTAACAGCAAACATAGTAGAAAAATAAAATAAAAATAAAATTGTATATATAACAATAAAATACAATAAAATAAGTGACCTGATATGGACCACTTTTTAAAATAATATTATGGGCTTTATGTCATTTTTAATATGCCAAAAAATAAATGGTTATAATAATAATAATAAACATTATATTATATGAGGCTGAGAAAATGCCGACAGGAAATTCAATAATTATCAACTCAATTCAAGAATACTGAGTATGGGGTAAAGGGATGAGCCAGATTCAAACACTTTCCCACAGGTGCACCACAGCTCAAAGTGTCGGAGCACATGTACTAACCGCTAAGGCTCTGACCATTTATTTCAGCTAATCAGAAGACAGAAATGGATTTCTCCTCTCTTGCCGATGGAAGAAGATTTGAAACATTTGCTTAAAGCAGCCGGTGAGAGCTCAGGATGCAGTACTGATCTGCTGTGCCATAAGGAATTCATTAAACTTTTACATCAAGCCTCCCTCCCCCTTCTTTCCTGTCTTCCTCTCTCTATCAGTCTCTCTGAGTGATGTCACACTGCAACATCCATCTCCGCTTTCTGTAGAGTCCTTCGGTTTAATAACGGACACCCTTCTGATTCTCCCCGTGACCCTGGTCTCATCCGCTCAGCCGGCTCTTAAATTACTCTCCGTAAGCACTCCGTCCACTGTAGCGCTCTCAGAGTCATTATGCCATTCGGGACACGAGTGTGATGGTAAGTGTGCATGCGTGCTAAGTACAGCCTGTAATTGAAAAAGTGTCATTAAGTGTGTGTCTACTAGCATGTATTTGTGTTCAAGTGTTGAATATTGATGTAGGAAAGTGTGGGGCTTGGCGTAAATGTATCGGTGCGAGTGTGTGTGTTTTGCTTGTGTGTAGCAGTTAGGCCGCTGTACCCTCTCCTCCTTAGATTACCTCTCATTCCCAGCGGAAAGCTAATCACAGGTCTGTTGGAGTCAGCATCCTGGGAGCATTTCAAGGGGAACAATCCCTGACCTGCTCACTTCAGCTGATTCTGGCCATGTGAGAACACGCGCACACACACCGCAACCCAGATCAACGGACACCAGTGGAAACGTCTTCCTGTGAACACTAACCAAACAGTTTTCATTCTGGATTGCATAAAAATATATAGCAATCAACTGCAATTAAGAAAGCAATAATTCATGAGAGCCTGTGAGTTATACTAATTTGACAATAGTTTCACCGAGCAACAGTAATGTCATAGGTTCGATTCCCAGGGTGGGGGGGTGATGGGATGAATTTAGATATCATGTTCTCGCTGGGAATCAAACACATGATTAAATGGGATGCAAGTATCTGCCACATGCATAATGTGTATTTATATAAAATAAAAAAAGTTTGGGAATTGAACACATGACAAAGCATACCATGAAATTGATTAATTTTACATCATTTGCTACAGGCCTGCTTCCTGCTCACTGATGCAGATTATATTATATTATATATTAATTTGATCATTTTATAGATAAGCATTTATGCCATATTTCGTTCCACTTGTAAATATATATTTGCTTTGTCATTCATATGTAGGAAAGACAACAGAGTGCAACAGAAAACACTTTTTAAGCCATATATAGAAGTAGTTTTCTCATTCATTATTTATTTATTATTTCCAAAATATATTCAGTCCAAGAGTCTAAAGCCACGAACCAACCAAAAAAATCGCACAATTACAACCTTTTATTTTAAGCGTATGAATGTTTCTTGGGGAAAAACACTACCATATTGTGTGTACTTAAAACTACAATCCCACACTGTAAAATAGATTTTTAATTGTAAATTAAACAAGGATTCCTGGAGTATGTTTTACAAGAAAATACTATTTAATTTTTTTTCTATTTCAGAATTTAAATGTTCATTTAATGTTACTTGCGGTTTCATTGTACTTGTGAAATTTACTAGCAATTTCTAATTGTTTTCTACACAATTTGTTTTCTGTCTAAATAATACACACACACACATAAATGTTTAACGATTTTGAGTGTGGGGACTGACCAAATTGATTTTGTAGATTTTTAGCTAATATATGTATCAGAAATTGGTTGGATTGTGGCTAACATCATTCCTAGTCCAGAAGACATGAGCAGAAAATGAGATAGCTTCAACAAAAGCATGTATCACCTTAATCAAAAACCTCAAAGCTCATGGTAGGTCTATCTTGAAAGGTTTATACAGTGCCATTAAAAATACATTTAAAATTTTTTTATTTTTTTTTACTTCTGAGAGCCACCAGTTGCACTGTATTGAATGCTCTGAACCATTCATGGGATCTTTAAGAACACATACTGCATATATTCAATGAATTTATTGACCTTTGTTACATCGTTATCACAGTCTATGTAAAATCCCTCTGTGCGCAGTCAAGCAAGTGGTTGTACAGCAAGTCACGTAACTCTCACAGTGGGACGGACAACATAAAGATCAAGGCTAGTTACCAAGCTCATGCATTGTAAGTATTGCTTCATTTCAGTAGTTCATAGTTTCTCATGCACCCAATAAAGGCCTCCAAGTCTAATTTTCCAGCATGTCGTCCACTCATGTTTTCTCTTGCCTCAAGCACAACCATCTCCCTGCCCTCAGGTGGAGGATTAGTCTTGGTGGGCATCCAGCTCGCCCTTGGTTTCCTATGCATGTGCCTTGCCTCTTTCAAGCCTGTCCCTCTGCAAGCTGTTCCTGGACCCTGGCACTGCCCTCTGTTTTGCCCCCCACCATATTCATTTATCTCCATACACTCCTGTGACAGCCTCGGGTCTTAAGCTGGCGCTGCGGGCGACCGCTTCGCCTGTCCAAATCCACTCCGGTCCTCCCATCTGTTTGGCTCTGGACCGCGGGCATCTGCTGAAGGCTATTGTTGGGAACCGTCATATGCTGGGCCAAAAGGGCCCCAAGAGAGCCGCCGTCGTCCCGTGTATATGTCTGAGGGTGTGTTCAACAGTGTGCGGTTGTGCAATTGTGTATGTTTGCTTGTGGCACGAGCTCAGAGGAGCGGCGGCAGGTCTTGGCCCCAGTCAGGGTCTTTGTTCTGGAGCGGTCCGGAAGCAGGCGTGCTGTGAAACCCCACGCTGCCCTGGCGGAGCGGATGGAATGCCCTCCTGCAGCACGGACTTGACACCGGGTCAACACGCAGCCCATCTCCAAGAGGCACCGGGCGTATCTCGGAAGGAGGCCGTCACTGATGAAGTCCGTCCGCTGCTGCCAGACTTCAGGAATTGTTTACCCTGCTGCTTGTGGTGTCTTATTGATTGCATGCTTCATGAGACTCGATCTGCAGATGACGCGGTGAGCTGCTGAGATGGGCAAGAATAGAAAATCGCTCACAAATGTCTATAATGAGGATGACTTCTATACTGTTGTGGATGAAATTACCTTTTAAAAGTCCCTTTAAATCAAAATTGGAGTTTCGAGGCAATGTCTGATAACGTTAAGATGCTCCTGTAGGTACACTCGTATAAATTTACAAAAATAAAATGGACAGTCTTTCACTTCCAGAAAATTAAACCAAAAATACTGATGCAACCTATCTGGTTTATGACTGACAATCCAAATGAAATCCATAAAGAAAGAAACTGGTGTTCGTCAAACCATTTTGGTTATGGTTTATAAGATATAAATAAATAATAAAATATAAATGAACAAACAAAAAATATTTAATAGTCAATATTAATTCTACATGCTTGTTTCCTCTATTTTTATATTTAAACTACAATGTAATGTAATGTTCACTTATGTAATATTCGCTGATAAAGTATATATTTGAAAAAAATTAACTAATAATTAAATAACTAAATTAACTAATAATTAAATAACACTGTTAAATGTAATCTTTAGAAAAATAAAAATGTATATACATTTTTTATATTGCACATTATGCTGCGAATGCCTAAACTCACCTGTAGCACAAATGTATTGACTACAGAGCTTTATTGTTTTATCATTTGTTATTTTAAAATAAAATAAAATAAAATAAAAACAGCCATTTATCAGTAAAACAAATACAAGAAACTGGTAACAAATTAACAATAACCTTATTGTTACATGTTACCAGTTTCATGTAATTATTTTACTAATAAATGGCTAATATTCATTAACATTATTAATGCATTAGCTAACTTGGACGAAGAAATATGAATAAATACTGTAAAAAAATCTATTGCTCATAGTTTATGTTGGTTAATAAAAAATACAAATCTTCATTGTTTGCTCATTTAAGTTTGTTCAAAGTGCATTAACTTAACAGAACGATAAAAAATAAAAAAATCATTCCAGGGATGCAAAACATTACATTTTCAAAACATAAAAATTCATCGCGATTAATTGCATTCAAAATAAAAGTTTGTTTACATACTATATGTGTGTACTGTGTATATTTATTATGTGTTCATTTCAATATTACATTTTCGGCTTAACAAAAACAGACAGATTTATATCAGTGCATCTCTAATACACACCCTACAAGTATGCAATCCATTTGGTGACCTTTGTAGTATCATAATCAGTCAACTTCGATGGCATCACATGCTGAGCAGGCTGTACAGGAGATCACATAGCTTGCCTAGCAGGGTGGTTAATGTAAATATCAAGGCAACCAAACCCAATGAGCAGCAAACACACACACAATCACACCCGGATTCACCTGTTTCCCACTGTTGCACTTCAGCGGATCATGGTCAGAGATCTCTTTAGCCCATTTAGTTCACTCTATTCCCTGCTACGCCTTCTGCCACTGCCCATTAACATTTCATCAGGTAATTATATCCAGCAAACAGCCAAAAACATCACGTGCCATTACACTGTTAATGACAATGCGGAGAGCGAGCGACAGAACGGGAAAGCCAGAGGAAGGAAGTCGTTTGACAACAATAAGAGCAATAACAATGAAGATAGAGAAGAATATGAAATTCCTCCAGCTTATCGTCTTTCTCAGGATGTGTATTCTGTCTCTTTGCCTTTCATATCGTTTTCCAGCCGTCTCTTATATTCCAGTTTTTCCAGTGTTTGGAAGCGTTGTATAATTGAAAATGTTAGTTCCCAAATCATGAAAGATTAATGTATGAAGGATGCATAATTAAGCAGTTTAATTTCAGGCTTTCCGAAGCATTACTCATTCTTTTCACTTTCATTCTCTCTCTCTTTCCATCCCTTTCCTCTTTTCAGCCCCACACCCCATTTTTGCAGGCTTGAAGATAATCAGAAGAGACAAGTGCCTTTCATCTGAGCAATGGAATGATCTGAGAAGGGAGTTGTCTAGTGGGCTAAAACAAATCATCTCAAGTGTATTTGAGAAGGAGGATTGTACTGTATGTGTGAGCATTAAAGTGTATGAAGGTAATTTCAGAAAAAAAGTAAACAAAATCTCAAAATCTAAGAAGACTGCAGCACAATGCGTTTAGCAAGCAACTGTACAGTAGCAGCCTGCTGAATCTATAACAGCACAATAGCAAAAGTGAAATACATGTGTTTGTGTATTTAACTTTTTTTTTTTTTTAAGTTTGTGCATTTTGTGGTGATGCGATAGAAGGACTAGTTTCACCATAGACTATTTCTGAAAAGAACCATTTTTCTTAGTGTGAAGGGCATTTTAATCATCTTAAGAACCTTCTTTCACTAAAAAGAACCTTTTGTGCAATGGAAAGTCTCCATGGATGCTAAAGGTTCTTTGTGAAACCATCAATGCCAATAAGTGTAAGGTGAACTCTAAAGTTTTTGAGGTTAACATAGGCCTACTTCTAACCCAGTTTAATATCCAAAACGATAACCATGAATAAACCATGTGTAGGTTGATTCTTGCATTAGCATGGACTATTTGGCTTTTTAGACCATTTCTCTGCTTGTTTGAGAACCGCCAACCCTTTGACAAAACAATATTGGCTCAAAAGATGAAGCAAGTTTGAGGTAAGACTGCATTTCAGAATTGTAATGCTAGAAGAGGAACATCAGTTTATTTTTAAAAATCAACATAAAAAAGCATTCATAATCCATTTACTTTTGTTACATGACATATTTCTATGTGAAATAGAAAGAAACAAAATAGACTTGATTTTATTCATGTTGAATTAATTTGATTTTGAAAAGTGGGCTTTCTGTTCTAGAACAGACACAGACTTCAATGTAAATTTGCTAAATAGCTTTTATTTTCAGTCTAAGAGATCAAAAATGTTTTAGAGGTGAAGCAAGATTTTATATTTTGATTAAGATTAAGCTGACAAATATGCTTCTTCTTGGAATTGCATGCACTAATGAATAATGCATAAGAAGACCAACATTTTTAATAATAGAGTAAAAAGGGACACTTTGTATTTTATGTTGACTTTTAAAGGATGTCCGATGAATAAAAACATCTACCACTTTACTCTCTAAATCAATCTTTGACTGTACTCCTGCATGAGAAACTCTTTTTTGCACATCTTTGTACCAGTTGCAGTTTGTTTGAGGTTCACTAGCTTACCCGAAATGCTAAGTTGTGGTAAAACATTTTTAACAGTCGTCTCAGCAAAGCAGACTCGACTACACTCAGCATTCTGTCTCCTTGAACTGCTTTTCAGATCCAAACGTGAGACACACTCGTCTCTCAATTGCTACAGTAGAGAATTCTAAAGCTATGATGCAAAATAAAACCTTCAAAACACAGCGCCTATCAAAAAACCTATTAGCATGAATAATTCACACATAACAAAAGGACGCTGCATTTCAAAATAGAGTTCATAAGCAAAAAATAATTTCCATCCTCAGGGTTACAGAATGTATACTCCAACATTAATGTGGCATAATTCATGGGCACTATTATTTGTAAACAGCCAGTATGAGGTACAGCCTTTCCAAAGAACGCCTAAATGCAGAATATCCTACAAAGGACAAATAACATTACATTTGTCTGTAGGGTGCAGGTCGGAACAAGTCTAATGTTAATTCAGGAGCCTGGAGCTCGGTCGCCCTTCCCATCTAGTGCAGTCTCTTACACACACACACACACACACACACACACACCTCATGGGGACTGAATTGCTAAGTAGCTTTATATAACACCAGTTACCATTTAGATCCATGTTTTCATAATCTGATTAAACATATCCGCCACAGACGATTTTGGAAAAGTGTTTCATGGCGACCAGAATATAGGAGTGTTCAGAAAGTGTAAAACACTCCTAAACCCTGATAGCTACAGTACAGCTATGAGTCCACATTAGCCTGATTAGCGTTCCTGCGGCTAGATTTGATGCTAGTAACAGCAATGTACATTGAAAATACATATCCTGAATCCACTGTAAGTCACTTTGGATAAAAATGTCTGTAAATTACTATATGCACATGAAAACATGATAAAGGCACTGCTATGTTTTACAGGAGGAAGCAAAGATAAGTAGGAACAAAAAATACCTAGAAAAATATCTTTGAAGCCACAGTCTTCAGCAGAAGCGGAGTTTAGATTCAGTCATTTTCACAAGTTCACTAGCAGGGTACAAAACAACAAAATTCGTTAAGCAATCACCCTCCTGTCGGTTTCCCACAGCAGCGGTTCTGCTCTGGTTACAGACATTACAATTGTCATAAACTGGATTTTTACATTTTATGAAGAACATTTGAGTGGTGAACGTTGCACCCTGGTCCACAAAAGTTCATTCCTATTTTCTATACATCCTATACATTTATATATCCTGTTTGCTACATTTAAAAAATTAAAAAAAAAATTTAAAAAAAAACTCAATTCAAATGAGAATTCCACACAAATCTGGCTGCTGACAATATTATTGTCTGCCAGCTGAAAGATAACACACATTTGCGCAAAACACCCAATAAGCTGCACAATTTGAGAGCAAGTTACATGCTGAAGTTTAATACTTAGGTTAAAGGTTTGCAAGCATTACTAACAAAAATAATAATAATAATAATGAATTTAACTGCTCAAAAGCTGCACTGAACAAAACAAGCATTGTACAAGAGATGCCTTTGAGCTGTGCAATTACCACGTGGGTGTTTTTGGTTCTTTTTACAGAATTTTGCATTTGGCATCTGGCTTTAGCATCAATGCATTTTAATACTTCACCTGGCAAAAATACACGTACACTCTGAACTCCCAAATTGGAGAACTGGAATACCGTGGGACGCAGACACTACGTCTGGATTGGGAATGAATGTGTCTTGCAACTCCTCTACCCTGGGAGAAGAAACACAGACATAGTGTTGCCACTGTGGCATACAAAAAAGGTTTTTATCCAACAATAATTAGAACCCAAAGGAGAAAAATGAGAAACTGAGATACTGAGAGAATAAAAGCACAAGGAAGCTTCTCTGGAAAGTAAATAACTTAAAACGCACAATAGATCTTTAATGAAGATTCTAAATATCTTAAAGATTATGATGTTTTCCAGTCTACAAATCTTCAATCAGCCTAGAAGACAGATTCAATCAGATGTGTCTTCTAATACTATTAAAAACAATAATCCACCCTATCAAAGTGGAGATTGACTGTCATGCCGACATCAAAAGAATCAAATGCATCTTAAACATGATTATCAGTGCAAGATATAAGCTCGGGAACACTCATAAAACTCTCATTTGGCCTACTTCCTGTTAGATAGTTTAGCATAGTCAATCATACCACACAATAATATTCTATGTAGGGACCTACTTGATTCAAATTAGGCTTTCCTTAAGGCAACTTCGCTAACATGTAATTAAGGTCAGCATTATGCACACTGAGACTGGTTTCTCCACTAATTATCACCATTGGATGTCACAGGCTTTCCCACATACACCCACGCCCATGAAAATCTCATGCTATACTATTAATCCCATCAGCTAACATGCCTTGACATCCAACTGATTTAAACTATGTTTTTTTTTTACATCTAAGAACAAATCAGCATGCAAAGAGGAGGCACGCTACGTAAAGAATGTATTAATCTCTAATGTGAAAATTTAGATTGCACCACACATCGGCAACCTTGGAGTTGCACCTCTTCTTAACAAGACTCTAAACATGTTACAAATTCTCAAGCAGCCCATCTCGATCGAGAACTTCTGAACTAAGGCTCCAAAGAGGATGTCCCGTATGGCCTCTCTGTCTCCTGCAGGTGTACGCAACCTCTGCAGCATCCACAATCCAGGCTCTTCTGTAAGTGGGTCAACATGAATGCTGCAGGATGCAGGTTGTATATACATTCCTATGCGTGACAACATATGGCGCTTGTGGCATAAATATTAATAATAATAAAATGCTAAAACAGATTTTTTTCTTTTTCTTGGTGTGAAGGGCTAAATGGAGATTGGGTCTCTGCAATTTTTCTGTCCTCTAGCAATTAACTCGGTGATGGGGGAGGATGCCGGATTCTTGTAGAAAATGAGGGAGATAAGAGACCCAAGCCCCAGTGTCAGCTTTAGCTCCTCTGCCCCGATGCTGGCCGCAGGCTCGAGAAGATAGCAGAAGCTCTCTAAGTTTCCCCGAGCTTAGCTAGAGAAAGCGCATGGTGAAGATTCACAGATAATACAAGCTGCCAATCACACGGCAAGGGAGGATGAAGATGTGGGAATCTTAAGAAACGAAAACCACGAGGGGGACATCATGTGAAGGTTAGAGACAAGGCTAGACAGAAAGAAATTCAGAGTCAGGTGAAGCTAAGAAGATGAAGATGAAGCAATGAGAATAAAAAATGCTAAGCTGAGCAACAGCAGATGCGTCTTTGGCTAGACTGTGAGGTTGTTTAGGAATTTCAGATTTGAGCTTTGAGCAGCTAGTTCAGTATATATTTTTAACGTTTGAATGTATTAAGTAGTGGTGCTTTCCAAAGCACTTTTATTCGCCCAAACTCCAAACTTGCTCAAAACCCCAAAAATCCCACAGTGAAGAAGACTACCTACCTACGGACAAGAAACTTGGAAAAGAGACTTGGGTTATGGGGTATTTTGAATAAGACAATAAGCAACCACCGACAAGACCCTCGGAGAACACCTTACACGCATAGCAATGCCCTGGAGACCATGCAGAAGCACAATTGCATTGTAGCAGCAAATTTTGCACAGGTAAACACTAATTAAATCCATGTCAATCCTCAAAATCACATTTAATTTATATTAGCCATACTTCACTGGTGGTTCTTGGACACGTTTGCCACTGTCCTCGCAATTCAGTAAAAGTGAGGATTCGCTGCCCATGGCACACGTTTCAAACAGGGGCGCATTGATCTGTCTAAATCCTTTCTCAGCTCACCTCTCCTTCCCACAACACTCCGTGAAGGATGATACCTTCAAACCACACACACACACACACACAAGATCTTCAGAAAACGGTTTTGTTCTTCAATAAAACAAGCGCTCGATTGGAACCAATCCAGGCTGACCCCTGAGAGACCAAGGAGAATTGTGATCTTTCTTTTTTTCATACCGAAAGCCAACTTGAGATAAACAGTGCTCTTTCACTGGTGCACTTGACCAACACGGTCTGGGTTTTTTTCTCTCTGGAGCCCTCCGTAGCCAATTTCACTGCAACAGGAGGCTAAGAAGATAAAGCTAACCGGCAGCCTGCTCTAATCTGGAGTCTCTGTGTTTCAGCTTCGTGCATAGCTGACGTAAAGGGAGCCTGCGCTTTCAAGGACTTGATAGATAAACCTGACTGTGAGATGAAGATCAAGAGCCGTGATACCCAAGATATGATAGCAGAGGGGACAGGGACGCCATTCCCACCAAACCCACCCGTCTCCCCTCACCCTCTGCCCCGAGGGTGCTAGCAGGCTGTCACGAGAGAAGGCGGCAGTAAGGGTGCATGTGAAAGCAAACACCAAAGAAGGTGAGAGAGGGAAAAGAAGCATTTTCTTATTTCTGATTGAAGCAGTCCCATAGAGCTCCCCAGTGCAGACTAACACACATGCCGCTTCCTTTTTTTCTTGGCGCACTTAAACATGCACAGCATAGCTTTGAATTATTTACCACCAGGTATCCTTTCCTACAGCTCTAAGCTACTGCCAAGGCTTTTATGATGCACTTTTTCTGGAAAAGGGGGTAGGGAAGAGAAAGAAACATATCACTCTTCTTCTTGTTAGCATTGAACCAAGTATGCGTCTCCCACCATGTATGCCGCGACTTTAATCATGCACGTACAACCGCATGCTGTTTGATGAAATCATCTCCCTTCAACCTCAGACATGTGACTCCTGCATTGTTTGGCTACCTGTAAATCAGTGGCTCAGGTATTGAGGGCTGGTTTTATGCCGCAATCAAATGGAAATGGCTGGCGCTACGGTAATGAGATTGTCCAAATACAAATATCCAAATGTATAATGTTCGTTCTCGGCTCAAGTAACAAACCCAGGCTGCAACTATCCTGCAAGCCATCCTGCAGAGAGAGGCACATTAAAAGCTATATATCTGGATATCGCAGGGATATTAGAAGGCGGGTTGGCAGGAGATTATCTGGTTTATCGGTTAGCCTGCTCTATATCTAAGGAACATCACGAAGACGGATTTTATTACAGAAAGTGCCTCGCTAGACCGCAAACTATTACACAAGATCGTGCTAACCAATTTGCTTTCACACTTCACCGAGTGCACGAGGTCTGGCCGCAAGCCGTGCGTTTTCATCAGCGGATGCTCTAACCGCCGATTCCAAGTCGGTTGACGTGTACCATCAATAACAAGGCGCCGTCAATGAGGCAAGACTAGACAAAGACATCACTTGTGATCGGTCCATATTTCATGAGATTCATTACCCAGGACGCTGCGCAAATGCGCTAATTGCTTGTTGCCTCATTGCAAATTCACTTTGATAATGGAAAGATGTTGTCTCTATTAATGAAGTGTTGTTCAGTGCATTATTCAGACTATGTATCCCTGTGATGAAAATTGGCCCCCTCTCAAAACACCCTGCTTGGTAATTGCCGTGCAAATGGGCACATCAGAGCTTTCGGCTTTGCACAATGCCAGTCAGCAGCTAGTCGTGCACAATCGAGACTCTGGCTGCCCATCAAAATGTGCCAGGCCGTTTCAGACCAGGCGCTCCTGAGTGGAGTTACACCTCTCCAGAGCTGGGCTTTATAAGAACTGACAGGCTCCTCTGGCTTTTCACGGCACCTCGGAGACCCTGATTTCCCGTGTAAGTGTGCGCAGCCAGCAGGTTCAGTGATTTTGCACAAACCATGCAGAGGAAGGTGCCCCCTCCTCATTTCCAGTTCATCAGCAGGTATTTACTATGAGCCAACTTTAGCGAGAGCTTGACTTCTCAAGATTGCTACTGCTGCAAAATGAAATGCAGGACAAATGTGTGCATTAACAGGTCCTGTTTACACCTAGAACTGTATTAACATTTGTCTGTAATTTTTTCCTGTATGTATGAATATTAATAAAAATCCTCCTCTTTGAGAATGTTTCACTTTGTAGAGTAACTAAAAGCAGTATATTTTGGGTGAATTCACAGATTGAGGCCTTTTTTATTTTTTTTTGCCATTTTTGCTTTTATTGTAACAGAACAGTATTAGACAGGAAACGAAGTGGGAGAGGGGGGACAGGATTAGGAAAGATTCGTGAGCTGGGACTCGAACTCGGGACGCCCAAAGCGCAATGGCATTATATGTCGGCATACTGCTCACAAGGATATTGGCACGACAGATTTGGGCAAATATTTTGCAATTCTGCGACTAAAAAGGGGCCTGAATTTACCTGAACTCAATCATACTACGTGTTACAAATACTTACAGTAGGTTTGCTGTTGATCAAACAGGATGCTAGTTATTTAATATTGTCAAGTTATTTAGAGGCCATGCATCACTGTTATGTTTCTCAAGGGAAAGGCTACATACTGTAACTTGGTTTGTCAAAACTTTTAACAAGAAAATAAAATCCAGATCTCATGAAAACCAGACAGAAAAAATAATAATGCATTACCTCTGGGGGCTTCCATATGTTTGGAAACAAACTTGAACTTGTTCTATGTAGCCATCCTTGTCTTGTGTATTAATTAGCTCTAAATATTTCTGTGCAATATTTCTCACAGCTTCAGCATATTGAAAATCAATGGATAGACTCCAGATGAATGCTGTCCATTCATTCAGCTCTAATTCAAGAAACAGATATTTTTTTTTTTAGTCTGCCTTCTGCAGAATTGTTTATTCTGCACAACATCAGAAGTGCAGTTTAGAAGAAACATCAGCCTCAGGTGATCTAATC